ATCGTCGAAAATATTGTGCTGATTACGATTCGATGCTAACTTGGACATGTACTGGTTCGAGAAAATCTGGTTTGTACACCAATTATTATTGTCATCGTGACAACTGTAATTATTGTACACCAGAAGTGGAAGAAGAAAGCCAAAAAAATGGAAGAGAAGAAAGTTGCTACTCATAATGAAAGATCGCGTACTGCCGCCGAAGGAGATTGAACATGTTCGGGTCAAATGAAAGCTCTCCCTGCCAAACTAACAAATTTAAAATATTACGTGCCCATGGCTTGCCTAGAGGAAGATATTTAACTTTTAAGTTTAAGTATAAAAATGAATCAGGAAAGGTTTTCTCCACTATTATAAGGACAAAACATAGTGTTGTTCGGGCCGATTATAGGGTTTGTAGGGACCCTCTTTCATATGACCCGAACAACGCTATGTTTTGTCCTTATAGTAGCGAAGTTAATTTTTTCTAGTGATTGATAGAAAAAGCTGTTTCGATGAGCTACAGGACAAAATTCACTCTACTATTATAAGGACAGAACATAGTGTTGTTCGGGTCATATGAAAGAGGGTCCCTACAAACCCTATAATCGGCCCGAACAACACTGTGCCAATGGGCATATCATCTTATATGATATCTTTACTTTCTCAGTGTGTTCTTGTACAATCAATGTTACGTGTGTTCATAATCGCATTACTCTTACGCTTATGTATGCTTGATTGAACCTTATTCTCTTGCTGTCGTAACGCGCTTCTCATTCTCCATTCACTCGTATATTATATGTATTGCTCTCATCTGTGTTCTTACTCGATTGTTCTTCTATATCTGTTCTCTCCTTGGCTTCACCACTTGTTCATTCTTACATTGTTCTCTCCTTGGCCTCATCACTTGTTCATTCTTACATTGCATAATCTTCTGTTATATCTTTCTTATTTCCTTTCCTCCCCTTATATTGTATTATCTATTCTCTCTCTTCTCTCCCAGCTCTCTCCTATATAAGCTCATGTTGTGTATGAGAGTGTTACATTTTGGATGTAGTGCACAGTCGAATAAACATCATGCTCACAATGAGATTAAAGACATTAATGTGCCTCTCCATTTGTCATAACGAAATTATATATATATATATATAGATATATATTTTTCGTTACAAACACTATGTTTTGTCCTTATAATAGTGGAGAAAACCTTTCCTGATTCATTTTTATACTTAAACTTAAAAGTTAAATATCTTCCTCTAGGCAAGCCATGGGCACGTAATATTTTAAATTTGTTAGTTTGGCCGTGAGCGCTTTCATTTGACCCGAACATGTTCAATCTCCTTCGGCGGCAGTACGCGACCTTCCATTGTAAGATTGACCTAGTGATATCCAGGCCAATCTCAGATTAGGCTGGTTTTCACTTATCAATCCTAGAATGGCCTGAATTTACATCAGGCCAATGTGAGATCCAAGATTGAACGCTGATATATATATAGGTTTGCCCTTGACAAAAGCGTCGTAGATACAATAAAAGATGAGTCGATCCATTGTTCGTCTTCTGGATTTGCCTAATGAAGTATTACTTATCATGTTAAGAAAATTGAATAATATTGATGTTCTTTATTCATTATTGGATATTAATACTAATGATAAGAGCGAAAGTATAAGTTCATTGAAAGATTATACAAGAAATGTATATGTACACATCTTAAATTTCTTCAAAAATTTAAAATATCTGACTATTATTGGATCATATATTATGTTTTATCCCGGTTTATCCCTTTGCAATTTACCATTACCTACTTTTTATTCTTCGATTCTTACTCATTTATGTATCCATGTGGAAACTTTTGATGATTGTCTTTATTCACTTGATGATCGACTCAAGCGATTGACTACATTTAATGTTACTGTCTATTCCATAGACAATTTTTCAACAATTGTTCACAACATGGCAAATTTTCACAAATGATGATGATGCCACTTATGATATAAATAATTACTACTTCAGCGAGCATATTTTTGCTTTATTTTAAAGGATAATGTTATATTAACAATGAAAAATATCGGATAAGTAGTGATTGACATTGAATTTGTACTTACTAAGAATTTAGATTTGATCAAAAGATTGAAATTTAATGATAGAAATAATCATTATAAAATGATTTGTCAAATAAGTAATGAAATGAAAACGAGATGTCGTTCTTTTTATCATTGATTAAATATGATAATATATTAAATGATTATAAACATTGAATAGAATGAATTCTTTTTCTATAGTACCAATTTTTCTGATAGTGAATATATGATAGGAATTTTCTCCAAAATTTTTCAATTATTCCTTCAATAACTCCTGCTTTTACTCTAAAGTTTCAAAATCGAACTAATTAATTCGTTATTTGTGATTTTTAATACACAAAATTCAGAGTATCAATTGAGAATTTCGTTACTAGGAATATGAACCTAGTGCCAATATTCCGTTGCTATGAACTCGGAAATCCAAAATGACTTATTGCAAAATAGAAAGACAAATATATCCAGATATCAACATTTCCAACGATGCGGAAAAACAATATTCCACATACGTTAGCATTACTACGAAAACGAAATCCAGATACTTCTAGACAGAATGTATATTTCGTAGAAAATATTATTATTGTAACAAGTAATGATGCTTATGATTTAGTGTTTTAGATTAATGAAGAAATTTTTCTTTTTCTTTTTTCTAGAACAAATTATCTAATCTGAAATGTTTCTTATTAAAATCTTTCTCTGAATTTAAAAAATATGATCAAATATTATCTCTTCTTCATCGTATGTCTTATCTAGAAAATTTAACTTTATATCTTCGTATAGAAAGTCGAAATGGAATCATCGATGGTACTTGTATTCGAAATGATATTCTTCTTTGTATGTTACAACTTCGTTTATTCACTTTCTATATTGGTACATACATAGTTGCATATTCAATTTTCTCACTACCTTTTGGCATTTGATTATCTTGGCAATATATTTTCAACTATTGTATTCAGTTATGTTACATATTTAGTTGTACAAGATAATGATGCATTCACACATGAATTCTTCGTTCGATCGTTTTTTTTAACGGAAGTATTTACGTATTTTCAATATCGAATCACATAGTTATTAGCTGATCTTCTTACATTATCATCTGACTATAGTTAATCATATTGAAGTGGCTTTTTTTTTGGAAAACTTCTTTTCTCTGAGGCTATTATTATGATTTATAAAAAAAAAATCATACGAATTTCGATCTGAAGAATATGGTAGATTCGAATATGTGTTTTTTGTCACAAAAAATATAAATTTATAATTCAATACTGTTCTCATGAGAGTTCAAAAGTCATATAAAAAATGGGTGTACATTATAGACCTAATCTGGAATAAATCAGAAAAAAAAGAAATACAATAACATATGAGATTTCTAAAATTGAATTTCGTAAGTACATAATTCTAAATATATCTTTGGAAACATCTTATAACAGAATAGTTACAATCAATAAAACTACGACTCTAAGGTGAATTGGAAGCAAAGAAAAAACTTTTTCTAGTGCCTTATATCTAATACATTAAATGACATTAATTTTTCTTCGACATGTTCTCTCTGACATTATGTGTACATTCAGTTGTGGTGAGTCATTGTGTGACTATTTTATGTATATCTGAGAAGAACATGACATAACAAAAAACCCAAACAGAAAAAGAAAAATTGAGTTTAAAAAACAAACCGAAGAATGATATAAATATGTCGTTGTTACCGTTAGTATAGTCATATTTATTGATTACACAGGCACGTTTTTTTTCTTTCTCTTTCTTCTCTTTTTTTCCTTGCAATTTTTTTTTTCCTTATATGAACTATATCTTTATGCCGCATAAACATACAAGGTAAAATATAAATTATGACGTTTTTACCATACGCTTTTTTTTGTCATCATATGAATGTATAAAAGTTTGAATTATAATACAAAATTAACGTACATATTGTTAATTTATAAGATTTAAATAGAAATAAATACACTTTATATTTACAGAATTAGTTTAGATGAATTTTATATTTAATAGAAAATGTTTTAAGAATAAAATTTATTTTCCATATAAATATGAATGAATTAATTATTCGGTTTATTTTTATTATACATACAATCTAGTTCAAAATTTAAAAATATCAATATTGATATTATGTTTTTTTTTATTATAATCTCATCGTTATATTTTTCCTACTAACTTTAATTATATCTTATAGATTAAAGTTCTAATTTAGTATATATCAAAGCTGAAAATTCCATTTGAAAGATTCGGAATTTCCTTTAAAAGACCTTCAAATTGTTGGGCAAAAAAATGTAAAAATCTCTGTATACTTTAACATTTACTTAAAAAAGTTTCATCTTTGCTCTACTTCCATAGATAAAATTAAGAAGTTGAAAATAAAAATCTACATAAGGCTGAGTCCGTTAAATTGTGTGTCATTCATAGTTGTTTTTTGACGATTAGGTAATCCTACGATATTACCAGTTATTTTTTAAGAGAACTACTTCATAGTTATCCGTTCTTGTAAAAACTGCCTGTTGATGAAACAATTCTTTAAAACAGAATTGATAATGTTATAGGCCTACCGTGAGCAACTGTTCAAAGTTTTATAAAAAATCTTCGTGGATCTTTTATAAAGTCTTTAAGACTCTTTATGAAATTTTAGATGATTTTAGCAATAATACTTGTGCCATACGTGTTCGTTAAACATTTAATTAAATCATGTATAGAAATCTCTTCAAATATCCCGCTTTGTTTTACTCGTGTCTGCTCATACTATTTAAAAATCAGCTGTCCTTGTTTCTACTGTACATTGTAAATTTGCATACAAACACTGCTAACAGTACCAAGCGATTGTATTTGCGCATTCCTCAATTTTGCTCGTGCCAATATTAGACGCTGTGAACTTTTTCGAATAGCACATGTGCATAGCTTTTTAGAAGAAAATTTATTAATTTTTCAGATAAAAATTAAGAATGAACTTGGTTATTTCAATATTATTTTTTATTTTTTCAATCATATATATAACATTTTGTGTGCATGAATATTATAAATATTTATGTCAATTAAATTATGATTATCCATTTCAAGATCCAACATTACCAATTGATATAAGATTAGATAATCTTATGTCACTATTAACCTTAGAAGAAAAGGTAATAATAATCTTATTGACATTGACTATTATTATATCTTTTTATTTATTTTTAAGATCAATATGTTATGGATGGATGGAACAACATCAGGTATTATTTTTATAGATCTTGATATTAAATATAAAAATTATCAATTATTTCCGGTTATCTTTTTGTAGATGGAGAATTACCTAATTTAGCTGTTCCACGTTTAAATATTCGTGGATATACTTGGATGGGACAAGGATATGTTTATCGATCAGCATCAAATGGCTGTAATATTAATTGTTATAGTCCTGTAATTGATGGAAATGTTTCTGTATTACCACAAGGTACAGGAATTGCTTCAACATGGAATAAAAATTTAATTTTTCAATCTGGTATTATGATTAGTGATGAATCTATGGCAATACATTATAATTATAAAAATCGTAGTATTGATTATAAAACTGGTGCATCAAGTGTTATTAATATTGCTAGAGATCCAAGATGGGGAAGAGTACCAGAAACATATGGTAAATAATAAATTGAAATATTTCACGTGGGTAAAATTAGAATCAGATTCGAGTTTTTACCGTCCGGATTCGTTCGTGTACTTGAGTTATATTTCGTTCAACTTGAGTTAGGTGCAGAATTTTACGACGAATCTGAAGGAGTCATCAAGCAAAAACTGCTACTTGACCCAGAAATACTGAATTTTTCAAAAGTTTTTGAAAAGTATTTGCTGTCCGAATTTGCTATTTTACTTGAGTTGGGTCTAAAAATGGTTGAGTTGGATTTAGCATAAAATTCTGCATCGAATGATATCGATTTAGTATGGGATCATAGGGCAAAAATTTTTCACCTCACCCAGCCACACCCCCTCATGGTGACCCTCATCCTAACCCATATGAAAAATTCTTTGCCCCATGACCCCATACTAAATCGATATCATTCGATGCAGAATTTCATGCTGAATCCAACTCAACTATTTTTAGACCCAACTCAAGTAAAAAAGCGAATCCGGACAGCAAATACTTTTCAAAAAATTTTGAAAAATTCA